CACACACACACACACACACACACACACACACACACACACACACACACACACACACACACACGTGTCACATGGCCACAAGGTGAACTGCTATTTTAATCCTTGTAATAAGATACCTTTTGAAAGCACTCTGTTAAATGGCTCATTAGAGGATAGGTCACGCACTTCTTCCAGGTTTTTCTATATACCGTATCATGTGTTCAGTAATTTTATCTTAACCTAAGAGTTTTTTCATCTATACATGCAGACTTTAGAAGCTCCAGCACATTTACTTCCCTTAAAGCATTGTGTTGCTTGAATCCGGCCCTTAATGAGACATATATGTAGTCCTAAGCGTGCGGGAGAGGCACCATTTCCAGGCTGTCAGGGACGATGATGACCGCAGCATCTTTCTCTCAGGATGCCTGTGCTGTCACAGGCCCTAATCCCGGAGCTGCAGGGATGACAGGTGACTGGTGCCAGAGCCCCCTGGTCTGTGACTAGAAACTCCTGGAGAATTTGACGCACACCCCCTTCTCTTGTCTCCCATTGATTCTGCCACTTCCCATTATTGTCAATCAGGGCAGCATCATCTCCATCGGGGGAGAGGTGCAAGTAGGCGATTGCCAGGGCAGTGGGGTGCGAAGAGGAGCGTGCAGCACGCCTGCAAGCTACTACGCCAGTGCAAGAGGGGTGGGGGATGCTTCTCAAGGGGCTGCCCGGGCAGTATGCCACGACTAAAACGGAGACCTTTTGCTCTACAGCACACAGTGCACACAATCGAGAAGCACAGAAGGGTGAAACCTCTGGAGCAGTTTAGCGTCGAGAAAAGGAGCAGCTGAGGCTCTGGCTGAAACGTTTCACAGGGCTGTCAGTGGGGAAAGCAATGCTTCTCTCTCAGATGTGACTGCCTTGTTAGAAAAATGACATAAAAACAATGACAGCAGTAATGGAAGAGAGGTGAAGCATTGTTTCCAGAGGGGTTCAAACGGGTTTTGGAAGGTAGCTGCTTTGTCAGTAAGCTTCCGGTGTGCCACCCCCACCCCCTCGTGGCTCCTGACCCTTAATAGGCCTCTATTGCCACGATGTGGAGGTGTTCTGGTCAGGTAAGGCAACCACGCCACCGCTATAACCCCTGAAGATTGATGGGAGTGGCGCCCTCCCTCCCTGCACTGTAAAAGATTATCCGCTCACCCGCTGGAAACAAAGCTGTGATGGAAATTCGTCTCGCATCATCAGCAACAAAATATCTACACGGCCAAGCGGGAGTCTCTCATTTTTCATGGGCTATATATTAAATAAAAAAAGAGCATTAAAGAAAAAGGGAGGGAGGCGGTCTGAGTGATAGCACTAGTTAGTGTTTTTTTTTTTTCGGTGGGCCACTTGAATCAAGGAGATTATAAGGTTTTTATTGGCTGTCAGGAAACACAACTTTCTGCGTACTTCACCCGTTGAAGCTCATAACGCTCTGATTAGAATGCCAGCCGAAATGAAAAGGGATGGTGCCGGTGTAAAAAACGTCCGGGGAGCAGCAGGACAAGCGCAGATGCCTTGGAATCTGCTCTCCCTCAAATACACGAGGGAATACAAGAGGACCAACACATGCACCAATAAAGCAGCGAGCGAACAGGCAGCACACGAGCTTCAGACAGAATTTATACTCCCAGTCTCACGGTCAGATCTGGTGTCAGAGACTGAGCTGTGCCCATTCTGAAGCGGATACATGAGACACATCAGGCAGAGTGTTATCTCTCGCTAAGTGAATATTGCATTCAGCTGATATGTGATATTTGAATTTCCCATTAGAGGAGGGGGATATGTGTCGAAGTGAAAAAGCTCAGTGATGTTTGCTCATTTCACTGAATGCAGTGAATGAAACCTTGCTTCACAGTTGCAGTGTGTCACAGTGATAAGGATGAAGTGATGGAGGTGGTCGGCGGGGGGGACTAGCAGGAAAACTGACTGCTGTTACTCAAAGGGTCACCTACACAGAAGCCTTCAGTTGGAAGACTAACAATCATTTACTTAAAAACTCAACCAGCTCAACCTGATCACTGTAATCTTCTCTAGTGGTTCAGAAGTGTTTTTAAAAGGCGTAACCGATACTTCACGAGTAAGGCGGCAGATTGAAATCATTCATTATATCAACTTGAGAGACTCCAGGTGTGTCAGTTCGCTCAAACTGAGCTTTCAATTTCCTGTAGTCGGGAGAAAGTAAGAGAGGGTAACATCAAACTCCAAAACATGACAGAGCTGGCTCCTTCTGACGGGAGGGAAGCCATTGATTTTTCCTCCATTTCACCATCAATCTGCTGGAGAAGAGGTGGCTATGGGTGTTCAGACACTTGATGATGTGATTTGTAACTATGGACCACCAGTGAGCAGAGAGAATTGCTTCGACTCTCAACACGTGGCATTCAGCTGGAAGATTAACAGTGGGGGATCTACCGATAATCTCCAGCGGCTGAGGGAGTATTTTCTCTGTCAGCCACACTGAAGCTACACTAACATTTGTATTCAACAAAGCCATTGACAAATCTTGGAGGGACTGTCACTCTGCAATGACAAGTATTCCAGAGCAGCCATTAAAGATTACTTTCATAACCAACTAAGCAGTTCATTATTTGACTGTATCACGTTATAGAGTATAAGCTGTGAGGTCCTAAATCTCACAGCAAAAATATGTCAAATTTTGAATCCTACAGCAAAAGGAAAGGCTTCTTATCTCTTCAGAGGCTAGCGCTAGCCACGCTAGCCACATGATTCTGCACACTGTTTATTTTAAAACCTCATATCAAACTATTTCGATTCAATTCTATTTTACTTATTTTACTTACCAAATCACAACAACAACAGTCGCCTTATATTATAAGGTGGACCCTACAATAATACATACAGAGGCCTTTTGCTGGTTGTTTCCATCTTGCAGATTTTCTACATCAGTCGGTAAATATTTGCATATCAAGCAACCTTCATCTCAAATCTCAGGCCACAATTTTCACAAAAAAATCCCACAAAAAATGTTGATCACCAAGACGAATTTATTGCACACAAATTCAGTATTCAAAATGGATTTGATACTGACATGGAAGAATAAATATATCACATATATCACTTATGGCATAAAGGCAAGATGTCCTTAAAAATCCCACTATCACTTGAAAAATACACAAATTACATTAGTGGAATTACACCTTCCTAAAACATCCATCATCCTGATTAGTCTATGATGTTGTTATGCAAAGTTTCCTCCATTGCAGAGTGTTCCCAGCTGTTCCCAGAATGTACTTTAACACAGACACAGAGCTGCACTTCAGATTTGATTGAACTTTACTATTGTAATGTCTCTCTAAGATCTAGCGACATGGTGCAGGCTTTCTAAGGGTGGAGTAATCCTCTTCAGATCATTTGCAAAGCAATTAGGCATGCCCCCACTGCTATTAAACATAAAGATAACAGCCTATGAGATAAGATGCTATTTTCACTACGTATCAAATGTGGATAGCTGCCTTGGGCCCCTGATATCAGCTAGATATATTTAAATCCCTGTAAATGAAATTAAAAATGTGATAGTAAAAAAAAAAAAAAATTAGAGAGACATATCTAGTGTACTATCTATCAAGAAATTGCATTTATGAATTAAATGTTCTTGCACCTAAATCCTTAATTAATGGAGCTATAATTATCACATCATAAGTACTACACATTTTATGCAGAGCAAATTTAAACGCATGGCTTCATGGATAATATCAACTCTGACATTCTACTAAACAAGGTAAATATCTTAATACTTTTTAGCTGCCAAGGGAACATACTGTTATGGTCAAATACGTCGATCGCAGGACCACGCAAGGCCGGATTACGTCGCTAAAAGGGCGACCGGATCCAAAAGGATCGCTTTTGAAATCCAGAGTGAGCTGAACTACGTTGATTCGCAACATGCATTTGTCAGCAGGAACCAGAGGGCCTCTTTTGCATGTCTTTCTATCATCGGTGCACACAGCAAGAAGTAATGCTACCGACAAGCAAGGTGCGGAGGGGGGGGGGGAGAGAAAAAAAAGCAAATTCCCTGTTGACCTGTGACCCTCGACTCAAAGGGGCTGCCATGCATGCATACAGAGGAGGTTCAAACAGAGTTTATGACTGCATTATCTCTCCTCTTCCTCATCACCTCTCCACCCATCAGTGGACACTAGAAGCCACCACGCCGAAGCAGACAGACCAGGCATCACTCATTCATTCGCCTCCTAGGTGCCTTTGTCAGGTGATTGCTGGCGGAAAAAGGAAAACAGATCAATACATCTCCCATGGGTCTGACAGGTAATCTTTACCTGGGATGAAATATGAGTGGTACTAGCCTGCTGGATTCCTTAACTGTAACAGGACAATTGACTGGCTGCACGGATGCCATTCCACCATTTCCTAGCCATTGGAAATTCATTTCGTGGCATAAGGTCTGGCTGAGATGTCATTATAGTGACTGTTAATTGCCGTGGTGGCAGGTAAGGTGTTCCTCCCTCCTACTAATGGAACTGTATCGGACCTGATGCATCTTCCTCCCCTGTCAGAGCCCTGGCACCAAAACACATACTGTTGGATAAAACAACAGTGCAAAGCTCTCCTTAAAACACTGCACGGTCAATACCTGTCAACAAGCTGAGGGGAAGAACACATCACGTTATTGTTTTTTTGGTCTAATTATTCTTATTCCTATTAATCAGACGTATGCCGTAAGCACTCCCACCTGGCCTGGTTACAACTGGCAGACTGAAGCTGCAGAAGGAAAAGCAGCAGCAGTAGACGGGGAAAGGGGTGGGCTGGTCTCTGCACTTTGACTGATTTCTGTGGCAGGATGTCTTGTGTGAGGCATCCATTTAGACTAGTGTGCACACACAGCATTTATAAATGTCATCCCCCTCCAACATGATCACATAAAGCCTTCTCAGATGGATTATTGCAGACATATAACTCATGTTAATTGGCAAATCTCATTCTATTAAATGCGATTCTTCCCTTAAATAAGGCTTTAAAGTGCCGGAAAAAGACGCGTTATGAAGCTGATGATTATGCACTTCACTTTACTAAGAAGATATCTTGTAATGAGTAGAGAAAGTGCATACCTGGTAACTTCTTTAGATTCATTAAACTTTCCTTTAAAAAAACATTCAAAATAATATTTCAATTCAGGTGAGAATTTCCATGTAAAATGCATTTTTAACACTATTAAATGGAGTCAGGCTGTATCTTTATGGTTTGTCATGTATCTCACAACATGCACAGTATTTTCTTTTTCTGAAAAATAAACTGGTTGTTTACCATCTTGGCTAGTATGAATATTTTTGATCTCTCTGTGTGCTGCGATTGATCTTTTAATGCATCTGATGCTGCGGGAGGTGGGGGAATGCATATCCTAAGGGGAGGTGAAAATACAGCGCGCACGGATGTCCACTCCCGCCTCCTAGAGCTTCTCCACTTCTCTCCGTTCGCCTCTGTGCTCCTTCTAAACAGCTCCAAAAGCAGCCCATCCAGCACAGCTGAAAAACAGGCTGTTCAAACAGATCTGCAGCTGGCCTTGAACTTTAAATACATTTGGGCAAAATTTGAATATAGAAGGTAACCTGGAGAGAACAGAGGCGGCCCTCCGAGGACCGCTACTACACTCCCTCTGTGTTGTGCTAATGAGCACCTTTGTACCAACTGTAGCTTTTCAAATCCATGCTAATAGGAGGCCTGTACTTTGTGCGGCTCGCTACCGGTGGTCGCCTCTGTGAACCCTGTAGCAGCATGTGGTAGCTAAACATTGTGATGCTCGTCTGTCTCGGACAGCCACACTAGAATAGAGCGGGCTGCCCCCCTCCCTTAGCCCACCCATCCTCACCTGACCATCCTTCCCAGGGTTCCTGCTGACAAATGCCGTGCAACTAGAGTGGACATAATTGTTGGATTGTGCGGTAGCAGGTGGCCTGGAAACTCTGTTTGGAAACAGGAGGAGCTGCCGAGTCTAGAGTGAAACGAGGAGCCTCTTGAAGCTGCCTTCTTCCTTGAAGAGATGGCAGAGGGCTTAACAAGGCTTGATTGCATTAACATTTGTCATGCTTAATATACTACCTGGAAGGACTGGATCTAGCAGTAACATGCTGATTTGAAGACTAATGATTTGCTTTGTATTTTTTTACTTCTTTGTTATAAAGTTTGTGCAGCAATAGGAGTTCAAGCCTTTTTCATTCCTTGGCACAATAGCTTCTTTTTGTCACTTTCCTCCAGACGTCAGATGGTACTTCTCGAGTCCCATTCAGTCCTACTGGAGCAAAGATAAACTCTCAGGCTGAGCACAAGTGGAGGATTGTGAAGCAGGTACGCTTGGTCCCACAGCTTCGAGGGCTGAGGTGTTACCGGGCCCTTGTGCCTCTTCTCTCTGGTGATCCAGGTAAAAAGGGTTGTAAGCTGCAGAGGAGGAGAGAAAAAAGAAAAGAAAAGCACATATTATATTCTGGACATGTAACCAAACACTGAGAGCAAACAAAAAGATAAATAAATCACATTGCCCTTCACTGTTTCAAGCCTCTCAAAAATGATTAAATTTAGTACATGACTCACAGATCGCTCCCTGGTTTAGGTAGATGGAAATAAAACTTTGAAGCAATCCTCTTCTAATAGGTTAAATATTAATTTTGGGTCACGTGAGGCAAACCCGCTTCACCCCCATATGACTGTAGACGTTATTAAAAAACGAAACCTATCTGTGCTTCTCTTATGGTGGTTTGATTGTGTTTCTGAACTCTTAATTCATCACACTTCACATCTCGCTGATGACCTTCCTTTTTAAAGGATCCCATTTTCTCTTGATCTCGTGCACCTTAAAAGCTTTTTTCTCGCCGCGAGTGAAGAGAAATATCAGAAAGAGAGCCGGGACCAATTTTCGTGGAAAACAGAGGAACTCTAAAACAATTGCACTCGCTAACATGCCTTCCTGCTTTTCCTACTTCACTTTGATAAATAAATCTCTCCTGATCTCCGCCCACCCTCCCCACCAAAAAAAAAAAAGTTAGCGGCGGTCACACAAGACATTTGCCAGGCAGTCCCATAACATAGGACAAGGGAACTAGAAGTGACATTGTGGCTCGGGGCTGTCTCAAAGGATTAGGCATTACAGCATTCACTGGTATGTGCTTTTGCTGGTTCTCCTTATATCTGCTTGTGGCTCTTTCCAGATGACTTCTTCTCCAAACTGATCCAGCAGCCAAGATAATTGATTAATATTTCTTGAGGGAATGATGACTAACTGTTGCTGAGGTTCAACACAAACATTCGGGTTAAACATAGTCAGAGGACTTGATCAAAATTCAGGGGATTTCTTACTGGACAAATAGGAAAAAACAGCAGGAAACACTTAAGTCTGAGTATGTTAAAATGCATAAGACACACCAGATACTAACTCAAAGTCAAGGTCATGTTTAGGTTAAGGTAAATGATTAATATTTCCTGAGGGAATGATGACTGGTTGCTGCTGAGGAGTATGCACATTTGTATTTCCAATCAAATCAGCAAACATTTAAATAAATAAATATTTTTCATACGTTAATACTACTATTTTAAAACGCTTTAAAGTTGGAACATTCCTGCTGGTGGAATAATCAGTCTTCATGTTTCTCATATTCAGCCAATTACATTGAATGCAGTGGTGGAGGAAGTGCTCCGATCTTTAATATATGTGTGTTTTTATCTGGAAATCCTGAAATGTAAGTCCTGAATTCAAAGTTTTACTTCAGATTAAATGAGCTAGTCCATTAGATGGCATAAAAACTACAATATTTTTCTTCATATCAACTGATAAATTATCTTGCTTCCTTTTATAAATCACTGCTTTGGTAGGATATAGATATAGTTTTAGATATAGAACAAAAATAAATACTGTGTAAAATTGAAAAACAAAATAGAATAAAGTGTTTTGCCAATTATTTAGTCTTTAACTGAAAATGCTACAAAAACAACATAATAAATGCTTACGCTGAAAAACTTTAGGTTCGTCTTCAGTTCAAACTCACAGTATGATTGTGTATAAATATTGATATGACAGCGTCACACAGCTGCTGCAGATTTATCGACTGCACATCCATGATGCAAATGTCCCACTCCATCACATCCCAGAGGTGCACTCGATTGAGATCTGGTGACTGTTGAGGCCATTTGAGGACATGTTCAAGAAACCAGTTTGAGTTGATTTGAGGTTTTGTGACATTGTGCGTTACCCTGCAGGAAGCAAACATCAGACAATGGGTACACTGGGGTCAAGAAGGGATAGGCATGGTGAGCAGCAATACTCAGGTGGCCTGTGGCATTTAAACAATGCTCAACTGTTAATACAGGGCAGGATTGCGCCATGCTTTCATGTTGTTGTTTACACTAAATTCTGACCCTATCAGCTGAATGCTGCAGCAGAAATGGAGACTCATCAGATCAGGAAATGTTTTTCCAATCTCCTATTGTCCACTTTTGGTGAGCCTGTGCAAACTGTTGCCTCGGTTTCCTGTTTTTAGCTGACAGGAGTAGCGCCCAGTGTAGCTTCAAGGTCCAGCGTTGTGCATTCAGAGATGCTTTTCTGCTACCTTGGTTGAACCAAGTGATTATTTGAGTTACTGGCACCTTCCTATTAGCTCAAACCAGTCTGCCATCGAGGAGGCATTTTCCCCCACTGACCTGGATATTTTCTCGTTTTTAACAATTCTCTGTGAACCATAGAGATGGATATGTGGGAACAAATATTTCTGAAATAGTCAAACCAGCCTGACTCATGTCAAAAACCATACCAAATTCAACGTCACTGAAATCACCTTTTTTCCCTATTCTGATGCTCGGTTTAAAGTTAACCAGGTCATCTCGATCACATTTTAATCCCTAAATGCACTGAGTTGCTGCCATGTGATTGGCTGATTTGCATTTAAAATCATATTAACAACTATACCTATTAAAGTACTCAGTGAGAATACACAGGTTTAACACTATCTAAATCAACATGTTTACTAAGCCCTGCTTATTTCTACCAAAAAAATGCCAAATCCCATTTTGAATGTATTAACTCAACAGTAAAGAGCGCATGGTAAACTTTGCAGCCCAGAGCTGTCACCACTGACAGCATTTAGTGCATTTAGTGCACGATGGAGGTCCAAAACATGCTGACAACATGTCGTCTTTGTAGCAACTATACTTTTCATATAATAATATAAAAATAGCATCCAACCATAGCATCTTAGTGTATTAATGTGATTACAAGGTAATCTAAAAATGATGAATAAAAGATTACCACCTGCACTCAACTGGTTTTACATCAAGGTCAATAAAGACATTACAATGCAAAGGTTTTCAGTCAATGGGAGAATTACAGTACATACATTTATTGTGGACGATAATGGGAAGTTGAATGGAACCATCTTAATAAGCTCTCATGTGATGCTCTCTAAAAACAATCATTGCAGGCCTTCCTGGAGCACTCCCCTTCCCCCCCTTTATTAATCAGCTAATTACACATTGACAGTAATGGGCCTGCTGATTCCCACACTTAAATGAACAGGGCTGAATAGCTCTTTAATGATTAGCCTTTGTGTTTCTCTCTCTCTTCCGTGTACTAACACACACACACACACACTCTGCTCTTTTTGCAAAAAAAAAAAAAAAGGGACGTTCAAATCAGACCTCCTGGTGAGAAGGGTTGCACACAAACAAGAAGCACCTGACAGTCTAGCCGGGTAAATCTACCTCCAGAAGAATGACAGAATACAAAAAAAGAAAAACAATCAGAGAGGTTACAGCCGCAGCAGGTTTGTGGTTATAGCACATCAACTCATGTGGGTTTCAGTGTTAAGCTGGGCCTCCAGCAACAGTTGAAAAAAAGAAAAAAAGCACGCCATGAAAGTTTGGTAGAGCCGTGCAGGCAGGTGCAGGTGGAGACGGAGGGGGGGTTGAAGGACAAGAGCAGGGTGTGGAGTGGAGCCGGAGAGGGCGAAATAGTGCGGTGGGCTGCATTTCTGTCAGCAGAAGTGATGGCTGAGCGGTAGCGTTATTTGTCTTGTGCTGCCATACGGCCCTCGCACCAGCCTGGGCATTAATGAGAGGGGGCCGGACCGGGCAGGAACACGGCGGGCCTCCAATGCAGGTGATCTGTCACGCAGCCGTCTCGCTCAGGCAAGGAGACACATGAAGACAGAGGGGGAGAGGAGAGGCAGCAAAGCTGACCGTGGGGCAGGCCTCCACATGGACACCCACATGTGGTACTTACCAACATATAAAGATAACAAGCGGTCTGACAAGGTTAAGCGCAAACTGACTTCAACCGCACTTATTTAGACAAAATCTTCCTGACGTCTAACACACTACAGAAATTAAGGCTTTTTTTTTAAACTAGCATCGACTTTATAGAGATAAAGATGAAGGGCATTGTGCGAGACAGCAGGGGAGGAGTAAAATTGCAATAATTAATTAGTCTGTGTGTCAGGCCAGCCAAGGATATTAAATTCCATCAAGATCTTTACACTTCTTGATTCATCTCTTGACTCACAAATAATCCCCCAATTGTGTAGCGTGTACATGCTCTTCATACTAATTCACCATCAATGAGCGCCATGTGCTAAAATGCACAATTCGCTAATAAAAGCCAATGCAATTATTAATACATTTATAATTGCAAACTTTGATTTTGCATTTTTGTAATCACTTTTTTAAAAATACTTTTCAAATCCTATAGAGCAGAAAGAAGGTTTTCTTTATTCCAAATCTAGTAGGCGCTCGGTTGGATTTCTGGGTGGATGGAGGTGGTGAGAAAAGTAGAAAATGGTCAATTTAAGGCTGAGAAATCGAGTGGTCATCTAATCCAAACAGATACCTGGCTTGATAAGTTGTTGTCTTTTTTTTTTCCACAACAGGCTTCAAGCACTGCCGTGAAGGTGCTAAAAGGTTAAAGAAAGAAGACAAAGCAACAGCTGGGTACCACCTCAGTGATTCCCTATAGAGTCCTGGAGGATACCTTCAGTCGCAGACTATTTTCACTCCTGATTACAGAGTTTCAAATCAGCCACTAACACATACAGCAATCCACTTCCTCTGGCTAACTCGAAGACTCAGCTGTCGTGTTCACTAAACGCAACACGGCGAGCCGTGCTGCGCTTTTTACTGAATGCAGTAAACAATCTTTCCATGCAAACAAGATGTTTACCAGACAGCGCTTCTGCTCGATAAATCACCGAATCTATACGCGCTCGTGTCACAACGGCAGCAAACCAAAAATTTTTACACAGAGCGTGTGAAAGCTTGTCAGGGTGAATGTGCATCTCCTGGTGGGAGGTGAGATTACTGAGGAGAGACATGGTGCAGCAGGCTGCCAAAGTAAAGATTTATACAGAGCAGTTGCAGCTGCAGAAACTGACATTGGACGACATGGGATGCATGATAAATCATGGTGGACAGGGGGCACTAGACTCAAGAAGCAGGAAAACACTCTGAACAGGGCTGAGGGGGATGTGCATATCAGGGACTCTACTTCTGTCTTTTACATATAAGATGATAAATATATTTATTTTTTTTTAAAAAAGCTTTATGATCATTTTTACACAAAGATTACATCACAATAACATATGAAGAATGACTACAGTAGACTGTGGGCCTGTTAACCTTTGACAAACAAGGTATGCCCCTCGTTCCGCATGCTGAGTATCAGAGGGCCTTAGGGGCCACGGGTCCGTCCTTTTTTTTTTTACTTTTATGTGAAGCAGTTTAGCACTTGGGAGGTGAAGGACGGAGCCGCTGGCCCCTCCATCACTCGTTGCAATAAATGGATGCAATCTGTATCCATGTAAAGCAGTGGCTGTTTTTAAATTCCACCTCTTTTATCCAAATGAATGATGGACCCTGGTACAGTGCACTGTGGAGCAATATTAATATACATCAGAGGCCTGCACCCCTCACTAAATCAGAGAACCACCAGCATTTGTTATTTAAATGACAAACAGCAGCTGCAGGAGTGGAGCACACAGAGGGGACGCGAGAAGAAAAGGTGGACAAACCAATTCAGATTTCAATCCGGCAAAGACAAAAGGCCCCGAGCCATCAGTCTAATGAAAAAAGGCAGCTCCACTGGTCTAAGCACACACGCAACGCTGGCTGCTCGGAGTGTAAGGCAACTGTGACCAAACACAGCTCATGAGTACATAAGTAAATGCAGTCAAATATAAAAGGGGGTATAGATGTAGAGATGAGGAGAAAATTATTAGCCCCCCGCCACATTGAAATGAAAAGTTTGTCAAATGCTTTTCCTACAAGTGAGGGATTTTGGGGCAATTCTAAACATACTTTCCTTTAGAAACCATAAATAACACACAATAACAGAATTACTTCAGAAATAAAAGGCTCAGTATTATTATCCCCCTGCAAATCTGACTCCTATGCAATGATGCACTTTTTAATGCTCTCACCTTGTAAAGTCACGTTAAAGCTGAAGCATTCAGAGGTTCTCTGCAAGCTCTACAAACTCACATGACTTTAAATTTTAAAGGACTGTTTTTAATGCATGGCTGAAAATCTGCAGCAGACACTAACTGCCTGAAGTGTAGAAACCACAGACAGCACCAAATGCTGTTTCCTCCAATGAGATGTTCTGCTTTGCTTCTTCTTTGTGGGTCTCTCTGCATTCACGTCTGTTTTTAAATCTCTGAGTTCTCACCTCTTACATGGAATCTTGTCACCGCACTTTCCTTGTAGTACCAAAAGTAATTTTTGCTGGTGCAACATGTTAGTAAATCTGACCCTTGGAATAAACCTCAGATCTTTTATCTACTTAAGATGTCATAAAAAAACAGAAGGGAGCATGCCTCGTTTGGCCATGAAACGACTTGGTAATTGTACAAATAGTCTGTAAGCCTCTGAAAATGAGGGACTATGCATGAAAATAGATACCCATGGTATCAATTTCAAAATCCAGCATCATCTTGTTCTCAAGTGATTTTTAGAAAATGTTACTGTGACCTTGAAGATTCAAAATCATCCAGAGTGTTTAGTAAATGCACTTGTGGTATCAACTTGAAAATTCCAGAAATCTTGACCTCCAACCTTAAACTTGAGGCCAAGGTCACTGAGATTCAAACTGAGGTCTGACATTTTTAGGAGCTACGTCTATTGTATTTGGAGCTCCTATGTCACCTCATTCTCGAGGTATCGCATTTACAAACTTAGGTGTCCACTCCCCCGACTCGCCCGCCCAGCAGCATGATGGCTATACCCCGTCAGCCTTTTACAGCTGAGGGGTAAAAATGGCTCTAATTCCTATTAAAACGGAGTTCAACCACATATGTAACATATTGACTGTATAAAAGAAAATCTACCATGGTTTTATACAGAGGCAAAACTTACAAACTAAAGGTGTTATAGAAAGGAAAATAGTTAAAAAATCACCTATCACCATTTTGAACGCTACATTTAACTCCTGAATCATTCACTAAATTTAAACAAATCTTTTTGGAACTGGAGGAAAAGTGAGGGCATCAATTAAGTAATTAGAGTTCATTATTGAGGTGCAGTGACATCGAAGTAGCTTTACTCGCAGCATGGCTAAAAAACAAACAAAACGCAAAGGTATAAAGTTTTTGCAATTCAAACATGATACTTTTACCTCATTCTCTGAGCTGTGTCACGTGCTAAACTGGGGTGGAGAGTGTTACCTGATGAAGTGATGGACACAGCTTCGGTTTCCCTCCGCTTCCTCACGTCTCCTGTGAACAGCAGTCCTGGAGTGAAACTAGTCTGTCTGAGTGAGACACAGAGAGGGAAAAAAACAACACATTACTCACAATATTATGATGCAGCTCCGACCTAGAATAAACACATAAACATGAAGAAATTTAATAGTTTCGCAAAAGTCGATAAATGCAACCGCTGCACATTTGCAAACGCTGCAGCTTCACGTTTCACCTCAATACAACTTTGCCGTGTGTTAATTTTTCTTCATTAATGTATATTTTCACAAGAATAATGTGAGATGCTGGGGTGCGAGCGCCCGAGTCATCGCAGAGTTCACATAAACAAATTACACCTGCTCTGTGCCTCCTGTGTGTCATATGTCAGGGGCCCTGAAATAGGAAAAGCTCCCCCATGAGCTTAATAGCCCTGACTTCTGAGATGTAAAGTTAAGGTCAAGGTCTGTTCCATCACAAGGGGGTTGGCAGCAGCTGATGTGATCAGGGCAGTGCGAGTGTTTGTGTAGAGCAGAGAGAGGATGAGTGAACCCTGATAAGAGACGCTGACAGACTTAAATATTTGAGCTAATTTAGCACCATAAAGAATGATAAGCATCCTTTATGAAAATATGGATAAAAATGTAAAAATGAATTCATGGCAGCTCAACAACAAGGATGCATAAAAGATCTCTCTCTCTTTTTTAGCTGGTACAAACCAAGACTGTGGCTACCTAAAGCTCAGCCCTAACAGGCACATGCTACAATGAGGCCCCGTCAGACCAGCCTTTTAACTGCGGCGTGTTCCATGACCTCAGCACCCATAAATCACATGACGGGTGTGCAGGCGCTGGGCGTTGAGAGCTGTGTGGAGCATGCTTTGAGCGAAGTCTCTATGTTGTATAATCAATAGATATAAAAATAAATGGCCTGACCGTTATTCTCTCCCTGCTACCCCTCTCTAATAAAATCCCAGTAATGCATATTTCATTTACTTTTATACTTATTGATTACCTGTACTCCAGTTAGTAAATCACGCGCCTATCGATCCCTCAATCGTACCTCTGTCGGACAGCACATAACCAGCCATTTGCGCCCCTGATAAAGAGCTCAGGCATTGAACTCCTCACAGTAAATCTTTGCAAACTAACTTTTTAATTCTAAAATCGATCCACATTTAAACGTCGCATTATTTCACAAGGCACGCCCGCGGTATTAAAAGTAATACCCTGATGCATTTGGTCTTAATGTGTGGTGGTCCATCCCTCCATCTCTTTTCTCCTCGCGCTGAGGCCCAGACATGTTGGCCCCCTCCTCAAGCGCCCGCCCGCCCACCCCGGCGTTACAGAGAGCTAAGATGCAGAGTCACTTCAAGCCCGCCAGGGGCCCAGTGAGCCACTCAGCACAATACTAATCAAACATGAGAATACCATCAGCTGCCTCATTAACCAAGGAAAAACACTACCATTCATCTCAGAGCAGAAACCAAAGGCTTTGTATAAGCCTTTTACATGGCTCACTGCAAAACTGAGAGAAATGCTTAAAAAAAGCACAATAGTGTTATTATTTAACATCTGTTTCTTCATCAGCTTTAACAGCTTGACAGATGACGGCCTACATTTACTGAAACTGTAATGAGAAAGCAAAGATTGACTCAGAGGTAATGAGCAAAGAGAAAACAAGTACAAAGTAACAGAGATGGTCGGCAACTACTAAATTCTACCACAAGGACACTGAGGGGGGAAAAGTGTCCAAAATAGATTTTTTTCAGGTCACATGAGACACTTTTAAATGCAGTGCAGTCTCTAAGAGAGCGGGGTAAAACAGCACTGACACAGGGTCAATTGTAATTTTGGCGCCCACATCCAAAAGCAAATATATCAATTAAAAATAATAAATCAAAAGAGGAGTGAAAGGCCGCTGTTACAAAATGGCCATCTATTTTCATTAGGTTACATGGCGCTTCAGGTGTGAGCAGGATCTCAAGATTAATAGAGGCATTCAAATGAATCAGAAAGGATTAGGGTCTCCAGGGAACATAATCAATAGCTCCAAATCAATAATCAATAGGCCACTCACACCAATATACTAACTGCTGACACTGTGATCTCACAATTAAAAAGAAAACTGGGATAGGGATGGCATAAGACTATGATTTATCTCACAGCACAAGTGTCATTTAGGAATAAATAAGTCAATAGATAAAAGCTGCTGCCGCCTGGCTCAGGTGGGAGATGGTTGTGCATTTTAACGCGGCTCAGAGCATTACAGCCAAAATCCCACAAAGCATTGCGCCCATTCACGCGCAGATGCGAGGATAAATGGCATGCAACCTTACGCAGCCTTTATCACTTAATATCAAATGTGTGATTGCTGCTGTCAGCTTGCGTACAACAAAAATCACAATATCATCCCAACAATACAGCACAAGATTAAATGCTCAAACTCTGGCCACGGAGAATTCACTTTCTCTCAAGGGTGTCTAAACAAAGAAAAGTCACGCGTGCGGTGTGGGGGCTGGAAACTTATAACACAGGTGAGAGTTACAAAACAAATTATGCGAATCTCAAACTGACGGTTTGTCTAAAGTTTGTCGAGAACGGCCACGAGCGACGGCTCTCGTTGTCATGCCGAACAACATTTCTAACTGTTTGTATGCAAGAGCATTGTGGAGAAAGTCTAAAGTACCCAAATGGGTGCAATGTGTGCAAAGCTGGGTCATCGGGACAAAGCTGCCATCTCGCTGGAGAGCGGAATTGAGCAGCTTGGGGAGATGGATTCAGCTCGTGCCGTCCAATGGGACACATCAGAAGCCCCTCTCGTCAATCCCCCTCTCCCTCATTCATTTGGGAGTATGATTTATACTTTTTGAAGTGAAGGGTCTTGAATCCCACTATAAAGGAATTAAGAGGTCTCCCCTGAGTCTGTCATTCAAATGAGAGCATGGCAGGGATATGAGGGCTTTTTAATAGAGAGAAATTAGTATTCACAATGCCTTAAACTAGAATCTGAAGGAACCTTTCAGGTGGAGAAGAAAGGGCCAGTTTAGAAAGAAAGCCTTAAGAAGTCGGGGGCTTTTCATAGCAGCCGTGTTTTTGCCCCTCATCAAGGAGCCACGGAGCGCTCTGTGAAATAACCCAAGAGAGCGGGAGGAAAGGAGTGCGTGTGAAACAAAATTAAGAATGCGCCATAAATAGGCAGAGTGAAAACAATACAATGAGGAGTCCCACAGTCTCGAAGCCAAGAGGGCTGCTCGGCTTCTCAGTAGTCCCCCATGCAGATCCAACAGTTTCTGGGATGACTGGGAGCGATGTGATGCTTTGACAAACAGCTCCTGGATAAACCTTTTTAAATGTTTCCGTGCAGTCCCAGAAATGCCAGCATATTAATCTGCATTACAACTATGTCAACACGTAGCATTTCTCCATTTGCAAACGCTGACCTTGAAAACGATTTAAAGTGACGCAGAGCACCACCTGCATGTTATTGTAAGTTTAGCTCAGACTTTAGGCCAAAACAGGCAATGTTTTGTTTGGGATTAAACTTTAACATTATTTTCTCAGCTTAATAGTTCATTACTTTCCCCTAATTTTATGAAAATCTTTTTTTTTTTTTGGTTGGGGGGCAGATTCCACATTTCTGAAGTTTACTGCATAGAACTGCACACCCCATCTATGGAAGCCCGTTTCCGCCACTAAAAAAAAAAAAAAGGATCCATAACTCAAAATTTCGAGTTATTTTCTCGATATTTCGAGTTATTTTCTCGAAATTTCGAGTTATTTTCTCGATATTTCGAGTTATTTTCTCGAAATTTCGAGTTATTTTCTCGAAATTTCGAGTTATTTTCTCGAAATTTCGACATATTAACTCAAAATTTTGAGAAAAGCAACTCGAAATTTCAAGTTAGCGCTGCCAATCAGTAATCTACGTGAATGACGTCATTTCCATGTTACCCGGAAGCTGAAGCCCTCA